TTGGCAGGGCGATCGGGCCCCGCTTGCACCTGCCTTGGCCTGGTGCCGCCCGCTCACCTGCTCCACCATCCCGCCATGGTCCCACTCTCGTTGGGGCCCATTGAGGCTAGCAGCGCCTACACTGCTGCCAGCATCGCGTTGCCGACCCCCACCATGTTTCGCGCCGCTCCCTTGTGGTCAGTGCATGTCATAGCAAGCGGTTGAACTCCCAGTTGAGGGGACAGTTTGCATATTAGGCTTTTATTATATAGAATAGGATTAGAGTCCAAGTACTAGGACCCAAGCTCTGGTTCCTAGGGCAGGCGACCTTTGATACTGTAGAGTATATGGCCTTTTATTTTTCTTTTGAGGACCTCTGGGCTAAAAACTTTATATTCTTTATTACTTACTTGCATTTGCTTTGTGCATTAATAGGTTGTAAAAGTGGAAAAATTCAGTCTTGGTTTGTAGTTTGGGAAGTTGTGGAGGAATGATGGTGGTTTTATATGACCTGCTGATAGTGGTATCATTTAAGCACACACAGTTAAGCTGTTTCTCACTGTAGTTTATAATAGGTGCATATCGGAGGTGTAACAAAATGTTTGAACTAAAAAAAAACAGGTAGTTACACACCTTTAGGATCAGGAAAACTTGGGGAGTTGGCATTTACTCAGCCTTTGAGATACTATGGGACATGTTTCAGGTAGAGGAAACAAGTGAGCATAGATGTGTAGGGAGCAGAATGTGTCCAGGGTGATAGGTGTGAGAAAATGCAGTGTTTCTGTCTCTTGAGGTAAAGAAATTCCTTCAACTCTTGTTCACAATCTTAATTTATTTTATTCAGTTCTCTTAAAAACTATTAATATAGGGAGTAAAATATATTATATGTTAACTATTTATTTATTTCAATAATTGCCCCTCCCTCCTCTTTAGCCTTCAATTCAGTATTGTATTTAAACCTGCCTTTTTGGGATTAAACAGGTTTGATTTGGTCCTTGTAACCACACACGTGTGCACACACGCACACACACGCACACACACATGCACGTGTGCGCGCGCATGCACCTCAATTCCAAGGACCTCTTTTCAAAGTAGACATAGAGATCTTCTAAGGTAGGAAATGTATGACAAAGATACTATAATTCTTTTTCCCCCAATTCTTTTAAGAAATGTCTTGATAACCCCCTCAATATAAGTTAACATTATATTGTTGCTTTATTTAGTTTTTTTTTAGGGAATACTGTGTTTAGATTGGCTACAGTTAGTATATTCTATGTGAATTAGGTCCTTTTCTGAAAAAGATAAGTAGGCCAGATAATTTGGATAGTCATTTTACCCACCAATTAGGGGTATTTCAGGAATTAGGAGAGTAAGTTAATTTTTGCTCAAAAAGGTAAAATGTGAAAACTTTTAATCATTTTCTTACAGATGTATGTAACTAATAAATGCTAAAGAGCCATATGAATTGATTATTTAATTGGAAGAAGCTAGAATGTAAAAATTCATTTTAAGCTCAAGAAGTTATGTGGCCAGTTTTAAAAATCTTGCCAGTACAAGAATGTGACAAATGGTTTTTAAAATGTAACCAAAACACACAAGTATATTTTTAATTTACCCTCCTGATAGCTTAGAATCTGTTTACAAGTAATGCTAGTTTCCTTTAACAGATTGCTTGGAAGGGAAAAAGTGATGTGTTTTTCATCTTTCATAAGGACTGAGAGAGTATATTGAAATATAATTATCAAGACACCCTGTGTTGAACATAGAAATTACATGGTATATGTGATCGATCACCGTTGAACACATTTCCTGAGAATATTCCAGATTGGGTAGTTTACTAGGTGCTTGGTAAGTAAGACAAGGTCCCTAGCTCATAAACTCAAGAAGGAGTTGATCAGGTGGCAATTCTTTTGAATTATGACAGAGACACAGGCATCTGGGGCTTTGTTTTCTTCCCCAAATTAAAAGGGACATCTGTAGCTTTCATCTTTGAACAGCTGAACGGGGTTGGGGCAGTCTCTGGCCAAAGCATGGAGTCGTGCTGCCCAGCCCTCATGCTGATGTGGAACAAGTGCACGTTGAATGCGATCTGACATTTTGCTACTGTTGAAGTCATGCCCTATCTATTTCTGCTATAACAGGAGGAAATTACTGGAGCCCCGTTGTTGTTTGGCAGCAAAGAGGGCTCATTGGGTGAATACTGGCTTTTAGTCTCAGGGACATTATCACGTGCCCAGATTTTCCTTGTGCCATGTGGAGAATAGGATAAAACCTGACTGAGATATTCCTGAGGTTCTTTGTAATTTGTGAGCTATAATACTGTAGTTTGAGATGCTATGAGCTTCTCAGAGTGACAGGGAAGCAACTCTTTGTTCCTTCTGATTCCCTGATTCCACTGGAAGAGAGCGATCTGGACAGTTCTGGGTAGGGTTAGTGATTCAGCTCTTGTTGTGAAATACATAGGACTTGAGCAATGAGAATGCTTTGGGAACTTTTTTGTTTTGACAAAGAGAAGAGGCAGCATGCTTCACACAGTGTCTTAGGCCATTAATAATAAATTATATATGCTGCATACACCATTTATAAAGCACTATAAAATGGATTGTTAATGCCAGCTACGAGACCTGTTGTAAGTATATATAATACTATATTCAGTCATATATAGCCCATGTTTATTGAACTTGGCTTTTAAAATATCTAACATTTATTGAACCTTTATGATCACTGTTATCCCACTTGCTTTACATATATCTTATTTAATCCTCACAATGACTTGATGAAGTAGGTCCTGTTATAACCCCCATTTTACAGATGAGGAGACCGAAGCACAAAAAGGTTAAGTAATTGTCAGACTCACAGCTTTTTTTAAAAAAAATATATTTTTATTGATTTCAGAGAGGAAGGGAGAGATAGAAACATCAATGATGAGAGAGAATCATTGATTGGCTGCCTCCTGCACGCCCCCTACCAGGGATTGAGCCTGCAACCAGGCATGTGCCCTCGACTGGAATTGAACCCAGGACCGTTTAGTCCGCAGGCCAACACTCTATCCACTGAGCCAAACCAGCCAGGGCTGGACTCACAGCTTTTAAATGGCAGATTCAGAAATTGAACCCGGACTGCCTGGTTGCAGAGGTACAGCATTATGATGTGTACATGACATCAGGCATGGAAAGAAGCTATTCATAACTTGTTGACTAGGTAGGCTCACTCTATAATTCCTCCACCCAACAGCACCAATATTTTGGTGTATCGTTAATACCTTTTCTCTTTTAATCTTAAGTGTATTTGTTGGACTTTGGCTGCATGTTGCTGGAATTTACTTGGAATGACAATGTGTAGCTTCCTCTCTTGCTAAGTAGTGCTTATTCTTCTGCACCACTATGTCATCTTTGCTCTTTCTAGCTTCGTTGATTTGTTTTTAAATATGTGAGAAATATGGTTGGAAAATGAGTGATGGAACAGCAGGAGGAGGGGAGGACAGTTAAGTACAGGAAGGGTGTTCATTCAAGAAAGAATCCAAGTGTCACTGTCTTGGAATAGGCAAAGATTTTTAAGATTGTGAAGAGAGTCTATGTTTTCTTGATGTTTTACTGTTTCATCTTTTGTATTGAAGTTTGTTTTATGTATATGGTGTGAAGAGGGATCAGTTAGAAAACTAAGTTTAAAAAGATAACCATTTACAATATCATCAAAGAACACTGAACACCTAGAAATAAATCTCAAGATGTTTGAAAAAGGGGAAAGATGTGTAAAAACTATTATAAAGTATTGCTGAAGGAATGAAAAGACTTAAGTAAATGCAGGATAAGTAAATGCATGACAATATGTCAGTTTTCTCCACATTATACCAAAGATTGAATACAGTTCCAAAGAAAAGCTCAGCAGTGTTTGCGTGTGTGTGAAGTATAAGTGTGTGTAAATTAAGCTGATTTAAAAATGTATGGGAATGTAAAGGATCAAGAAAGGTGAAAATAAGGAGTTTTAAAAGCATGGTTCATGTACTCTGGAGTGTCCCTCTAAACCAAGCATGTGCCCTGACCAGGAATTGAACTGTGACCTCCTGGTTCATATGTCGAGGCTCAACCAATGCACCACACTGGCCAGCAGAGCTCTTTGTCTTTTCTTATATTTTCTGATTTTGGTTCTGAGCTAAGTCTGACTTTTATCTTTTAGCCCATCTACTGATACTTTAATTACTTAGTGTGCTTAGGCTCATAGGGTTGCTAGTAGCACAACTAGAGGAAAAGTATAGTAAGTGGGGAAAAACCATATCCCAATTTAACATTTTAAAGTTAACATTTTTATACACACTTTAAAAAAATGTGGTGGTTACACTATATAATCTTTCCTTTGAAATGATCAATTTATTCCCTATGGGTTGAAATGTTTCCTTCTCTAACCAAAACCACAATGCAGAAAACCCCTGGGCTAGATGGAAGTACATACTGC